ACCGATGGGACTGCAGCAATCACTGCAGCATCACACTGCTTAGTGTGCCAGGCAAGTTTCTTGCCCACATCCTTCTGAGGCGTATCAGAGACCATCTTTTAAGGCATCAGAGGCCGGAGCAATCTGGATTCACTCCTGGTAAGTCCACAATAGACCGTATCCTTGCGCTTCGAGTCATTGTAGAGCGCCGGCGTGAGTTCGGACATGGGCTGTTTGCAGCCTACATCGAATTCAAGAAGGCGTTCGATATGGTGCATCGGGAATCACTCTGGGAGATCCTGAGACTGAGAGGATTTCCAACAAGGATTATTGAACTAATAGCAAACCTGTATACTGGTACTGAAAGTGCTGTAAAGTATGGTGGGGGCCTGTCGAGCTTCTTTCCTGTCAGGTCAGGAGTGAGGCAAGGCTGTGTTCTTGCACCAACACTTTTCAATACTTGCATGGACTGGATACTGGGCAGAGATACTGTTAAAAGTCATTGTGGAGCAACACTGGGCAATATCAAGGTTACAGACCTTGACTTTGCCGATGATGTTGCTATTCTATCTGAGTCTTTGGAAACATTAGTGGCAGCTGTCGATACATTTAGTAATGAAGTGAAGCCCTTGGGTCTAGAGGTCTCCTGGACCAAGACCAAGATCCAGGACTTTGGGGACTTGCTAGGAGAACCTGTTTGGTCAGTACGTGCTTGCGGCGAGGACATTGAAGTCACAGAGAGCTTTACATGCCTTGGTAGTGCAGTTCATAACTCTGGGCTGTCAGACCAGGAAGTCAGCAGACGGATTGGTCTGGCAGCAGGGGTTATGAACCTTTTTGACAAGAGTATTTGGAGATGCCGGTACCTGTGCAGAAGGACCAAGCTACGGGTTTTCAGGGCCCTGATAATGCCAGATTTGCTCTACGGTAGTGAAACCTGGACATTATCCAGTGCCCTGGAGTCTCATCTTGATGCCTTCGGTAATAGGTCCTTGCGCCGGATCATGGGGTACTGTTGGCAGGACCATGTGTCTAACCAACGGCTGCACCATGAGACTGGCACAGGACCTGTTACCTGCGCAAATCCGTGATCGCCATCTCAGGCTATATGGCCACCTGGCTCGCTTTCCACAGGCTGATCCTGTCCATCAGGTTGTCTCTATAAGAGAACAACCCTGGGTGGAGGAGGCCTGTGAGGACGACCGAGGAAGTCTTGGCTTGGGCAATCGACAAAACCTGTCGGGAGGAGCTCGAGATGGGCCGAGTCCCTGCCTGGCGGCTTGCCATAAGGGATCCCAAAAGGTGGAAGCAGAAGGTGGACGCGGCTATGCGCCCCCGTCGGCGTTAGCTTTAATGATGATATATGATATATATATATATATATATATATATATATATATATATATATATATATATATATATATATATATATATATATATATATATATATATATATATATATATATATATATATATATATGTGTGTGTGTGTGTGTGTGTGTGTGTGTGTGTGTGTGTGTGTGTTGTGCACACGCACATATATCGAGTGAGAGAGAGAGAGAGAGAGAAATAGACAAAAGAATAAAACCTTCCTCCCTTTTCCTCTTTCCTCACCTCTTCTCCTCTTTTCTCTTCCCCTTTTCCTCACCTCCCACTCTTCCTCTCTCCCCCCCTCATCTCCTCTTCCTCCGCCACCCCCTCTTCCCCTCTTTCCCACCTCCCCTTTAAGCTCACCTTCACACTGTGTCCGTTTTCCAGCGCCAAGTCATCAATGTTATGTTGACATTTGAACGATGACTGTCGGACCAGCTTCAGTCCATAGTTCTCTCTCTCTCTGTCTATCTTTCACGTTCTCGTTGTCTTTCTATCTGTTTGGTTGTGTTAATATCTGTCTTTCTTTTTGTGTCTATCACTCTTTTTGTTTTTCTGTTTCTATATGCCATTGTGTGTCTCTGTCTTTGTCTCTCTCTCTCTCTCTCTCTCTTTCTCTGCATGTTTATGTGTACTGTTCATGTCTACCTTCCTTCTCTTTTTTTTTTCTTTCCTTCTATCTGTTTTGACTGTCTTTGTCTTTGGCTCTATCATCTGTTGTTGTCTGTTTGTTCTGTCCTGTTGTCTGTCTGTCTTGTCTCTCTCTCTCCTCTCGCCTCTCTCTCTCTCTCTCTCTCTCTCTCTCTCTCTCTCTCTCTCTCTCTCTCTCTCTCTCTCTCCTTTCCTCCCCCCATTCTCTCTCCCCCACCCTCTTTCTCTCCGTCTCTCTCTCTCTTTTCTCTCTCCTGTCCCTGTCTGTCTTNGTTGTCTCGATAGAGACGACCTCATGGGCAGGATCATCCTGAGGAAAGCGAGCAGGTGACCGTTATAGCCTGAGTTGGCGATCACGGATTGTTGAGATTAACAGGGCTTGTTGCCAGTCTCACGGTGCAACCGTTGGTTGGACACATGGTCCCGCCAACAGTACCCCATGATCTGGCCACAAGGACCTATTACAAAGGCTTCAAGACGAGCTCAAGGCACAGCGACAATGTCCAGTTTCGCTACCGTATTAGCAAAACTGGATTATCAGGGCCTTGAAACCCGTAGCTTGTCCTTCTGCACAGGTACCGACATCTCCAAATACTCTGTTGAGAGAGTTCATGACCCCTGCTGCCAGGCCAATCCGTCTGCTGACTTCATGGTCTGACAGCCCAGAGTTATGAACTACACTACCAAGGTATGTAAAGCTCTCTGTGACTTCAATGTCCTCGCCGCAAAGCACGTCCGACCTGAACAGCTTCTCCTAAACAAGTCCCCAAATTCCTGGACCTTGGTCTTTGTCCAGGAGACTCTAGACCCAGGGGCTTCGCTTCATTGCTAAATGCATCGAGAGCCGCCACTAGGGTTTCCAAAGACTCAGATAGAATGGCAACATCATCAGCAAAGTCAAGGTCTGTAACCTTGATATTGCCCAGCGTTGCCCCACAATGACTTTGAACAGTAGCTCTGCCCAGTATCCAGTCCATGCAAGTGTTGAAAAGAGTTGGTGCAAGGACACAGCCTTGCCTCACTCCTGAACTAACAGGAAAGAAGCTCGACAGGCCCCCCACACACTTTACAGCACACTTTCAGTACCAGTATACAGGCTTGCTATTAGTCCAATAATCCTTGTTGGTATTCCTCTCAGCCTCAGGATCTCCCAAAGTGACTCTCGATGCACCGTATCGAACGCCTTCTTGAGGTCGATGTAGGCTGCAAGCAGCCCCCGCCCGAACTCACGACGGCGCTCTACAGTGACTCGAAGCGCGAGGATACGGTCTATTGTGGACTTACCAGGAGTGAATCCGGATTGCTCCAGTCTCTGATGCCTCAGTAGATGGTCTCTGATACGTCTCAGAAGGATGTGGGCAAGAACCTTGCCTGGTACACTGAGCAGTGTGATGCCTCGGTGATTGCTGCAGTCCCAACGGTCCCCCTTCCCCTTCCAGAGAGGGATGACCACACCCCTCAACAGGTCAGGAGGAATGGAACCGGACTGCCAGATGGCAGCCAGGACAGCATGTAACCCCCGTGCCATAGGTTCACCACCAGCCTTTAACAGTTCAGCTGGTATGCTGCAGATACCAGCTGCTTTACCACTCTTCAGCTTGGAAATCGCCCCCCTAACTTCAGTTAGGGAGGGAGGGTCCTCACTGATAGGTGGATTTGGCAGCGGGATCTCGACACTACCCGCATCCAAGTTAACTGTTGGTGGGTCAACCTGGTACAGCTGCTCAAAATACTCAGCCCAACGTCCCCGCACCGCAACAGGATCTGAAACGATCTGACCACTTACTGAGCGAACTGCTGTCACCTGTGAAGAGGGCTTGGAGTTCAGCTTTCTCAGGGCTTGGTATGCAGGACGAAGGTCATTTACTAAGAAATGGCCTTCTACCTCCTCTGCAAGACTCCTAATAAACTGTTCCTTGTCCCTTCTTAACAGGGACCGAGTTCTGTGCACATGAGAACGGTGCAATTCCCGATCCCCTGTCAGACGAGCCGCACGACATGCATCAGTGGCTTCCAGTGTCTCCCGCGAGATGGAATTCTGTACTGCTCTCGGGCGTACACCAATCGTATCTTGAGCTGTATCAAGCGTTTCACGCTTAAGGTATCCCACAGAAGAACAGGGTCTGTCAGACTGCCAAGCACTGCGAAACGATCAGAGATTGCCTCAGCAAACCTGCGGGCACACTCCCCTCCCTCAGCCTGCCAAATGAAACACCCTAGGGTGATCATTTGACCGCTGTGGGGTTTTCAAGTGGACCCGGAGGGTAGACACAACCAATCTATGGTCAGTACCACAGAACTCAGCACTCCTGAACACCCTGCAATTCTGAAGGATCCTCCAACGAGTGCTAACAAGTATGTGGTCGATCTCCTTGGCTGCGTTACCCACATCACTGTACCATGTCCAGTGATGTGGGTCTGGGCGCTGGTACCAGGAGCCAGAAATCCTCAATTTCTGGGATCTTGCAAAGTCCCGGAAAGGAGGCTATTCTTGCTACCGGCATCAGCTCCTGAACCATGGGGACCGACAGACATCTCATAGCCAGCTCGATCACAGCCAGATACCGCATTGAAGTCGCCCAGAACAATGCGAATATCTCGTCGAGGACATCTGTCTGCCACAGATGTAAGTTTGGCGTAGAACATCTCTTTCACGTCAAGTTTACAAACATCGGTAGGAGCGTACACAGCAATAAGAGACATGAAGCCAAAAGAAAGCTTCAATCTCAATACCATTATACGCTCATCAACAGAAGTAACCTCTACTACCGAGGGCTGGAGTCTGCTGGAGACGGCAATGGCTACTCCCTGGAGATGGTGGCCATCGCTGCGGCCCGACCAGTAGTAGGTGTAGCCACCCTACACAGGTCATGCCGCTGCCAGGCCTCCTCACCTCCGAGAGAGCAGCCACCTCAACTCTCAGCCTCCCCAGTTCCCTCGACAGTAGAGGCAACCGATCATCCTGACGCAAAGAACGGACGTTCCAAGCCCCCACCCTA